CACTGCGCCGACAGCGTGGAGCCCGCTTGGAATTCTCTCTCTCCTTGTCTCTCTACCCCTCCCCTGCTCACACTGTCCCTGTCTCTCTCAAAATAAATAAATAAAAGTTAAAAGTTTTTTGGCAAAACAAAAGGAAGGAAAACAACAAAGAATCCGTGATTGGATGTGTGGGGGTCGAAGGAGATGGGGTAATCCACCGTGATTCACCCAGCAACTGACCCACCCATCCAAACTATCCCTCCCCCAACTTCCTTTAATGGCCCCTCCATATTTTTCCTTCCCCCTTCCTCCCTGGCTCCTTCCCTCCCAACCATCCTTCCACCCATCCATCCATCCATCTTCCTATCTCCTTTCCTTCCTTCTTTCCATCCTCTCATCTACACTTCCATCCACTTATTTCAATCGATTGATCCATTCGTCCATCCATCCATCCATCCATCCACCCATCCAACCACCATCCACTCACCCTTACAAATATTTCCTCACCAGTCCTTCCGATCATTTACCCACCCATCTTCCCATCCTTCATACCTCCACCCACCCATCCAAACCATCCAACCACCACCCAGCAAACACGCCCCTAGTGTCCCCTCCAGGTCAGCCCTGGGTTTCTGAGGTCCCATCCCTGACCACCCCCTGGCCGTCTCAGTCCACCCAGCCCGACTCACTTGCTGTCCAGCAGGTCCATGATGGGTTGCAGTACATTGTCAGCATCCTGGGCCACGCTGCTGCAGGCACTGGCTGGCACGTTGCCCGTGCCCTTCACCTGGCTGAGGATGTCACCCATCTGCTTGACACACTCCTCGATGTGTGGCTGGAAGCTAGGGGCACAGGGGGTGGAGCTCAGGCCAGGCTCTCCAGGCCTCCCAGAGAAAGGGTCAGGTGAGGCCTCAAAAGCTGACCCGTGGACCTTGATGTTTTATCCCAAGCATCACGGAGGCGTGGCATATCACTGAGCAGGGGAGGGGATGGTGTGGAATAGCAGAATTGGGCACTGTGCTGAGACATTTACTTGTGTTGTTTATTTCATTGCACAGTCCTACCCAGGCACTATTATCATCCCCACTTTATAGATAAGTGAGGTAAGATTCAGAGAGGTTGCATGACTCACCCAAGGCTATATAGCTAGTAAGTGGGAAGCCAGGATCGAACTCAGGTCTAACTCCAAGCCTGAAGTCTTCACCACTAACTACATCTGCTGAGTCTCTGGATGCCCCAGGCTCAGAGGTCTGGGGGCTGCCCCCTCTTGTCTGCTCCCAGCCCTAGAGGTGCCCCCACCTGGTAGCAAACACCCGGCTGAGCTCGTCCAAGACATTGTTGAGTTTCACCTGGAGCTCCTTCAAGATGTCACTGGCCTCAGCATCCAGCTGAGGAGGGAGAAGGGACATTAGATCAGGTTTACAGAGCATCCACATAAGTGGGGCATTTGCCCATCCAACCCAGGGAAGGGGATCCCAGAGGGCTGGGGAGGAAACAGGCACAGATAGTGAAGCTTCTTGCTGGGGTCTGAGGGAGTGGTGGAGCTGGAATTCATCAACAGCCTCCAGGGACACGGGAGGTGGTGACCCTGCCCAGGCCTCGCCTGACCTCTTTTCCTCCCATGGCTTCGAACATCTTCTCCAGCTGCACTCGGAGCTGCTGGGTGTTGTTCATGAGGATGCAGGGCTGGCGGTGCAAACAGAGCAGAGACTCAGCACTCAGGATCCCTCCCCAGAGCCTCCCCCATCCGCTGCCGGGGACCCCGGGATGGTTTCAGGGTCTGGGTCCAGAGAAAGCTGGGGTCCCATAGGGTCATCTGAGAATGGAAGACAGCCTTGGGATCAGGTTCCGGGGAATGTTGGGGAGGACGGTCTCTGGGGATTGGCAGGGGGAGTCAGGGCTCAAGTAGCTCCTCCCCTGAGGGGGGCTGGCTTCTGGGAGTAGCAGGAAGGAAGGGGAGAGTTCTTGTCACACACCTATATTCTCCTACGTGGTCTCAAAGCTTTGCAAGCTCACATCCATACACCCTGAAGGTTTTGTTCACAACAACCAGACGGTGACACACTGAAGGCACGTGCCCTCACCTCCAGATCCCCTCAGACACACACAGCCAGGTACACGGACACACACAGTTGGACATACACAGACAGAAGTATCAGAGCCCAGGGAAGGATGAGCCCTTGGGGGTACAGAATGGGGATGGGAGGGGACAGGACAGGGACCCCCAAAGGTCACCACTTTCTCCTTCTCCTTGGAGCAGTAAGAGGCGAAGTCCTTGGAGATGATGTCTGCATACTGGAGGAGCACATTACTGATGGTCTGGGGAGGATACAGATGTGGGGGAAGAACAGGAGCTGGAGTTAGGCAGGCTCTTCAAGAGCCACTAGTGAGATCAGGGATGAACCCAAACCCCTATGAGCACTCAAGATGGACCCATTCGATGGGCGAATTCTCCACCCAGGATGACCATCACAACCAAGAGGAGACACCACCAGGTAAAGATGATTATTTTATGTAGAGCCAGCTTTTTCACAGAGCAACCAACCATCATACTAACCCAGCTCCAAGCATGAGCGCGACTCAACCCCAAATGGAATCCCAATTCTTACTTGCAGTCCTCAACTTCAACCCAGCCTAAAGCCAATTAGCTGGAACCCTCAAACCCAGTTGGATGGCCTTGACTTCCAAACTCACCCCGAGACCCACCCAAATTCTACATAAATCCCAACACTCACTCCAACCTCAATGCCAAATGGAATCTCAATCCCAGTAGTAACCCTAAACCCAACCCCAACTTCAACCCCATCTTCAACCTTGACCCCAGCTCCAAATTCAACTCCAACTGTAACCACAACCCTGACCTCAACCTCAACCTCAACCTAAACACTGTCCTCAACCACAACTCCAACACTGATGTCAACCCCAACCTCAATCCCACTGATATCACCAACCCCAACTTTGACCTCAGTCCTAATCTTAACCCTGCCCCTGACCTGGACCGCAATCCCAATCTCAAGTGCAACCCCAACCTTGACCCTATCCCAATCCCATCCCTCCCCTGGACTGCATTCCCAACCCCACCCACACCCCCGCACCTTGGCAAAGCGCCTCATATAGTGCCCCACGATCTGGGGGTCAGGGCACTCGAGTTTCTTGATGATCTCAAAGCTCTGGTTGAGCTGGGAGAAGACGTCCACCACGGAGCAGGAGAACAGAGCGTGCTCTGAGGTCTGCTGGAACTGCAGGGGTGGGGAGGCCATGAGGGAAGAGAGGGGTCAGAGCCAGACAGTCCCTAGAGTCCAACCCTCCCACTCTTCATGGGGAAACCCAGAGACCAACTGCCCTGGGGTGAGATGGACACTGTGGAAGAGTGACTTAGAGGTGGACACAGAGACTATGGATAGAGAGAGTGGGGCTTCCAGCTGGACGAACTCTTTCATTTGTTGAGTGAACAAAAAACTTTCAAAATCATGAACAAGATGAAGACGATAGTCACCTTTCAGAGACTGGCTTCATCTCAAGGGCAAGTTTTGCCTCCATATTGGATCCCAATGGACCCCAGAGGGAGCAAGACCACTGTGGGCAGACTAGGGGCTTGGTCATGGGTCAGTCTCCTCACCCCATCCTTCTTGTCTCGCTCCAGGGCCCCATGCAGGAAATCCCGGGACACCTCCTCATTCTCATCCAGCCACTGGATGACAAAGGGCTCAAACCACCTGGAACAGAGAGCAGGAGTGAGGTCTCGCCACCTCTTGTCCCCTGGCCCTCTGCTTTGCCTGGTTCTGGATGGTACTTGGGCAGGTCCTCCTCTCCCTTGAACTCACCCTGTGGCCTCCGGTGGGGGGGCTACTCCCTGCTTCCCTACCCCACCAGGCCTCGGTTACTTCAGCCATGAAATGGACCTCATGACCACTGTCAGAGAAAGGCCCATACTTGCAGGAAGCATGGGTCAGATAAACGACCCATGGGTAAGGGCATTTACTCTCTGGGATCCCATTACCTGGACAACAGAGGAGTATCTATCCCACAGTGCTGCTGTGAGCGTGAACGACACAACGTATGGTAGGTCCTCGGTAAATGGTGACCACCATCCTGCTCTCCAACACAGCCCGTGAGTCAGACATCCAGAGTTCAGATCCTGGCTCCGTCACTTATTGGATGTCACCTTGGGCAAGTCCTTCGGCATTTAACTCTCCATTTCCTCATCCACAAAATGGGAATTATAACGCTCCCATCTTATAGAATCGTCAAAAGGATTAAATGAGAAAAGGCACACAGGACTGCTCAATGCAGTTCCTGATACTTATGAATATTAATTGGGCTATAGGAGTCCATAGTCTAATGGCTGAAAATAGAGAATACTAGGTTTGCACCCCACTGTGACCCTGATGCCTAGGGAACCCTGAGTAGGTCAGCCCTCATCTCTGGGCCTCGGTCTAGCTGTCAGCACTACGGTTCTGGCCTGGGGCAAGGGACTTACGCAGGGTACTCAGGCACGCGGTCCTTGAAGGCAGGAAGCTCTGCCACATACTCGTTATATAGCCACTTGACCTTGAAGTGTAGGTTCATGTAGTCAGCACTCTTACACAGGCGATGCTTGTCATGCTCTGGTAGGGGGAGAACGGACGTGGCTCAGTCAGGAAAGTCTCCACCTTCTGTCTTGGCAGCACCTGCTCTGGCCATCACAGGTGTCCAACCTCAAGCTTGAGGGTCCAGGACACTCACAGCCTTGGAGGGGATACTGAGGCACAGCTACCTACTGTAGCCAGGCTGGCAGACATGGGAATTGTGTGTGTGGGGGGGGTACTTACCCTCCATGGCATACTTCATGTCCTGGGCAAACAGGTTCCACATCACTTCAGCACTGATTTTACCCACGTTCAGCTCCTGGGGAAACCTGGTGAAGGTCATGGAAGTATGAAACCTTGGCAGATGGAGGCAAGATGGCACAGGCTGCTTTGGCCTTCTGACCCAGAGGGTAGTGCAGGACAGGCAGAGGGATCTGGATTCAAGCCCCCTCAAAGCCACTGACTTGCTGAGTGACTCTGAACTGAAGCCCTGCTTCTCCCTGAGTCTCCATCCATCTATCTCTCCATCCCTCCATCCACTCATTCACACAGTCATCCATCTTTCTACCCACCCATTCACTCACCCATCTGTCTATCCACTCACCCATTTCTCCATGCATGCATCCATCCATCCATTCATCCATCTCTCCATCCAATCAGCTATCCATCCATTCCTTTATCTACCCATTCATCCTTCCACCAATCTATCCATTCATCAACCTATTCA